CTCTGGGTAGTATAGTTTGCAGGTAAGTAGCAGATAAAGGGTCTGAGAGTAAAGCGGCAAATACAGGCATAATAGGTGTGCCAAAAAAATTGTTGAATGCAAGAAGGAATGAATAAATAGCAAGCAACCTTAAAAAGCCAAAATGTTTCTGCAGGAGAAACCTTCCTGACACCTGAGGCAAAGTTAGGTGCTTTTTCTCTGTGTACTCGAATTCCCACTATAATGTCTTTCAGGTTATTTGTCATGTTTATTTTAACTGTGGCGGTCTCCACTAGTCTTGAACCATTTTGAAAAGGAATTTTATTTTGTTCATTCTTCCATGTCCTGTGGTATCCCACAGTGCTTCACATATGGTAAATGCTCGATGAATATGTTTCTTTCTTATTTTTTTTTTTCTTTCTCATTTTTTCTTTTTTTATTGTTGTCCTTTGAGTGAAAGTTTACAATTCAGGTTAGTCTCTCATACAAAAATTTATACATACATTGTTGTATGATCCTGATTGCTCTCCCTATACTGTGACAGCATACTCCTCCTTTCCACCCCGGATTTCCCATGTCCATTCAGCCAGCTCGTGACCCTCTCTGCCTTCTCATCTCGCCTCCGGATAGGCTCTGCCCATTTAGTCTCATGTATCTCTTTGAGCTAAGAAGCACACTCTTCACCAGTATCATTTTATGTCCCATAGTCCAGTCTAATCTTTGTCTGAAGAGTTGGCCTTGGGAATAGTTTTAGTTTTGGGCTAACAGAGAGTCTGGGGGCCATGTCTTCTGGGGCCCCTCCAGTCTCAATCAAACCTTTAAATCTGGTCTTTTTACTAGAATTTGAGTTCTGCACCCCACTTTTCTCCTGCTCCGTCAGGGACTCTGTTGTGTTCCCTGTCACAGTGGTCATTGGTGGTAGCTGGGCACCATCTAGTTCTTCTGGTCTCAGGCTGATGAAGTCTCTGGTTTATGTGGCCGTTTCTATCTCTTGGGCTAATACTTTCCTTGTGTCTATGGTGTTCTTCATTCTCCTTTATTCCAGATGGGTTGGGACCAATTGATGCATCTTAAATGGCCACTTGCTAGCTTTTAAGACCCCAGACGCTACTCACCAAAGTAGGATGCGCAGAATATTTTCTTAATAAACTTTGTTATGCCTCTTGACCTAGATGTCCCCTGAAACCATGGTCCCCAGACCCTTGCCCTTGCTACTCTGTCCCTCAAAGTGTTTGGTTGTATTCAGGAAACTCCTTAGCTTCGGTTTAGTCCCACTGTGCTGACTTCCCCTGTGGTGTGTGCTGTGCTTCCCTTCACCCAAGATAATTCTTGTCTACTGTCTAGTTAGTGAATACCCTTCTCCCTCCCTCCCTACCCTTTAACCATCAGAGAATGTTTTCTTCTGTGTTTAAACCTTTTCTTGACTTATAATAGTGGTCTAATACAATATTTGTCCCTTTGTGAGTATGAATATGTTTCTTTTTAAAGTAAAATATTGGAATTGTAGAGATATTAGAGTGGGAATACAGTTTGTGCTTACTGGAAATTAATCTTAGTATCTGATTTATAAAAATTAACCCATTCTTTGACTGGAAATTATTTCAGTACACGTTCATTAAAGAAATTTTATCTTATTTTAGGATTTTCTTTAACATTAACATCTTTAAATATATATGTATTGTCTCATCATTATGACTTTTAAGGACAGAACTAATGAAAGCATAAACCTCATTGTTTTCATAAAAAAAATTTAAAACTAAGATTTCAGTATTTGAGTAAAACGTTTGTAAGATTCTTAAGTGAAACTAGGTAACGAAGGAAGTACCTAGTTCCCAGATTGTGGTTTCTGTATGCCATTCTTCACCAAGAAAAAGCAGGGTTCTTTGAGAGAATAACTATTCAGAAAACTATTCAGGAAAAACAAGGGGAATTTGCAGTATTTTTGTGTGCTAGAAAACAAGCTGTCAGACTACTGGGGTCCTGTCAAAAAGACCAAATTTGAAGGGTTTCCCGTTGGCCAATGGTATGATTATCAAAAAGAAAAGTGAAAAAAAAAAAAATCACAGTTGATTGAAGCATACTGAATATGTAAGAATCTTAGGTCCTGGAGCACGGGTGGCACAGTGCTTAAGAGCTCAGGCTGCTAACCAAAAGGTCGGCAGTTCGAATCCACCAGCTGTTCCTTGGAAGCCCTATGGTGCAGTTCTGCTCTGTCCTATAGGGTCGCTGTGAGTTGGAATCGACTTGACAGCAGTAGGTTTGGTTTTTTGGTTTGGTGTTAGCTTCTAATAATATGATTACCCTCCAACACACACACGCACAAGCACACACCTTTTTAGATATCATTAGAATTAACTAGAGCAAAGTAACAATTAAAATGAATGAGTTAAGCATTAAACCTGCTTTTGCCTAAATTGCTTGTATTTTAGAATAACCACATAGCCCTAGTTGATGATAAAAAGTTCTCTGCAAAAGAATTTCTACTAATGTGGATGGAATAGAATTAGAAAATAACCCAAGTAAAGTAGTAGATGTAGACAGTGATCGTTAATGGATGAAAATATTAAAAATGGAAAGATAATGGGGGAAGTTTTCAGTGCAGATATTTACACTATCACCAGCAGATCAATGTTAGTATTGCTGACGTAGACAACCAAACATTGTAGACTTCCTGATTTTTGATGTGATGCGAGTCACACAGCATCTATTATTGTCGTAAGTTGAAATCCAATCAAATTAAGCATTTAGAGCAAACCTCCATGGCACGGGAGAAACAGGATAGACGAACAAGTTAATGACACCACAAGGTAGCAGACAAATTTAGAATGGAGGATGTTAGTCTAGAGATTTTTTTTCTCGAATCAGTTTCATGAAGAAAAAATGGAGGAGTGACAGCTCTAAATTAAAAAAAAAAAACAACAAAAAACATTAGGAGACAATAATGAAGTACGTAGACCCTGTTCAAACAAACCAACTGTAAAATGAATTTTTTTTTTTTAATCGGCCAGGGAAATTTTAATATGACTTGGGTTATATAGATGATTCCAGTATATAGCAATGATTATAAAAGAAAATCTCCATAATTTTAATAATGGATACTGAGTTATATATAGGTGAAACGACAGTATCTGGAATTTGCTTTTTAAAATTATTTTAAGAAAAAATTATGATAGACCACAGTTTTAATCATTTTTATGTAAGAGATGGGATTAACAATGACCTGTACTTGTTAGTAGCATAAGAATATTTGGAAAATAAGCATATAATACTTTAGTAAGTGGAAGAAACAACAAAGCTGTTTGAAAAAGTAAAACAAAGTTCTGTGTAAATATGATTTCCAGTGTAGTCTTCTATACTAAGTCGGTCAAGTCAAGTCAAGATTTTTATACATTGTATCCAAGTTTAACTCCCATACATCTTTCTCAGGAATGATAGACTCCATTGGAATGATGGATGCAGTGAACCAAGAAAGATGAAGCCATGGTATTAAGAAATAGGGGACCCGGCCCAGTGAGAGATGAAGGGAATTCTCTTCTGTGCAGACTCTGTTTACCAACTGCAGCAGGCCGGAGGATTAGAGTAGAAGGATAGAGGGCTTCAGAATAGGAGGGCTCTAGGAATAAAATGGAGCTAATTAATTTCTGATGCATTTGACTTTGTGGAAATTTTCATAGATGGGCTGTTGGAGAGTGTGGGAAGAATTTGTGATAGGTTCATGGAAAACTAAACAAATGAAAAAATAAGGTAATTAACTTTGGGGAAGAACAAAAGTTGTACATGAAGGGAAACACAATTATATAGTAATTTACTATTAATCTCATTAAATAACAATATTACATGTATATTACAATTGGGATGTAATTACTTTTGAGGTTGGAGGAAAGGAAGTCAGGGATGGTGGTGTAGTGTAAGGAAACTAAATCCTCCTCTTCCACAGAACAATCAGTAGGTAATACCTAAACCTGATATTTCAAGGAATATCGTCATACACCCATTATTTAGGTATAAGGAGCCCTGGTGGCCCAGTGGTTAAGTGCTCAGCTGCTAATGGAAAGGCCGGCTGTTGGAACCCACCACCAGCCCCACGAGAGAGAGTTGTGGCAGTCTGCTTCTGTAAAGATGACAGCCTTGAAACCCTATGGCGCAGTTCTGCCTTGTTCTGTAGTATTGCCATGAGTTGGAATGGACTCAATGGCAACAGGTTAGGTCTTGTTTGTTTCACAGAAAAAAGAGTTAAAAAACTTCAAAGACGTGCACCTTGGTTTGGAAAGAGGAACTGTATTTGTCTTTACTCACTATTTACATTGTTATTTAGATAAAAATATTTTTATAAGGAGGCTTAATTAAAAGATCTCTCAAGGGATGGTAAAAGTGAACCAAATCTCTTCTCTGCAGATTTTGTTTCCTTTGTTATTGTTGTTTACTTCACACTTGATGCATTTTCCCTTTCTGTAACTTAAGAATTTGCTTTATGATACTATTAAGTCAGTTATGAAAGTTTAATGGGGAAGGTAGACTTGTAAGTTTTATGTATATTTACGCATATAGAGTCTTTTGAGAATAGAGTGAGTTCTAAAAAGTGAGAAAAACTTTAATTCTTTTGATGAAACTATTTTAATTATGGACATTGTTAAGAGTGAAAAATAAAGTTGTATTTTTTAGCAGTGATGAAATTGTTCAAAGTGATGAGGCTTTTAAAGATTTTTCTTACAAAATTATTATACTTGCCCACAAGACTTGAATTCTTACCGTATTGTCTAGTTTTTAGAAAGATTTGTTTCTGAAATTCATTTAAATTAGTAAAGACAGCATTTTTATGAGTGAGAAGAAAACTTCTGAAAGTTTGTATTTTTTCTTTTTAATTTTTATCTGGCTTTACAGTTTGCTTTCTATAATGTTCATTTTTAATAAAATAATTTTTAATTTGTATCGTGTTTCGCAGTTTGCTTTCTATAATATGTTCAAAGTATTACTTGATTTTAAAGTTAGTCTCTAAATTCTCTTTTCAATGTCTTTTCTAGGTTATATAGAGGAGGACGTTTTCTTAGTGTGGATTGCTGCCTTTGGTGAGAACATGTCGTCCATCTTGCCATTCACTCCACCAGTTGTGAAGAGACTGCTGGGATGGAAGAAATCGGCTGGTGGATCTGGAGGAGCAGGCGGAGGAGAGCAGAACGGACAGGAAGAAAAGTGGTGTGAGAAGGCAGTTAAAAGTCTGGTGAAGAAGCTAAAGAAAACAGGACGATTAGATGAGCTTGAGAAAGCCATCACCACTCAAAATTGTAATACTAAATGTGTTACCATACCAAGGTGAGTGTTGTTAGATGATGGGGTTTAATGATCATACTGTTGATAATTGCTTAAAGGAATCTGAAAACAGGTTATTGAGTTTTTGTTACTTCTGAGTCACCTGTAAATAGTGATTGTTACAATATGACAGCTGTTTTTAACCTGTCGTGTTTGTTTATTTACTCATTAAGACTTTTATCATTTTCTTGAACAGTGAAGTTTTAATCAAGCAAAATAAAATGCTTAGATTTTACTAAGTTTTATCTTCATTACCTAAATTTGTATATGTTATCCTCATTTTTGTGATTGAATAACATTTGAATAAAGATATTCTAAGCTTTTCTACCACTAGTTCAGTAGTAACTAATAGTTTTCTCCTGTCTTGGTCAAAACTCTTAGTCATTAAGGAGTTAAAAGAGGCTGTAACATAGTAATAAATTTTATATAGTTTTTATTTGAATTGCATCATTACTTCCAGGAGGCAGCTGCTTAGATGTTGTAGGTATTCAGTAGAACTTACCTTGAAAATCTACCTCTTGTATTAGAAGGAACTGTTACAGTAGTGGTTGAAGTTTTATTAGTGTTAATTTACTCATTTATACATACTGTTTTTTAATAAAGTAGCAGATGGTTTCTAAGCATGTTTTATTATTTCTTGTGTACCTTATAGGTTGTTTTGGGGTGTCAGGGAATAGAAAATCCTAAAACGATTGTTTGCAGTGTCATACATGTGGGCTAGCATATAGCACCTGAAACCATTCTATTTGACATGTTTCCATGACTCCTGACTCTTGTTGATAGCAGAACCCAGTGACCAGCAGCCTATCTACTTGCAAGTGCTAGCAGTAAAATGTTTCCTTCATTGTTTGGTAGGCTATCCATTTATTTTACCTTACTTGTTTCATGTATACCTTAAATAAGTTACTTTTCTTGGTGTATTGGTTTTACAAATGCCTATTGAGTACCTGCTATGTGCAAGGCACCGTTTCTGGACTCCTGAAGAAACAATGATGGACACCATCCTGCCCTCGTGAGAATGGATATACGCAATAGACAAGTGATCAGATTAATATAATTTGAGATGGTAATGAGTACAAAGAAGACAGCAAGTGGGGTGATATGATAGAGGATGATATGATAGAAAGCTGCTTTGGAATGGATTGTGATGTTTGAGCTGAGCTCTGAAGAGTAGTAGCTAGCTGAGGGAAGAGTCTTCTAGGCAGGGGGAAGAGCCAGTGTACACTCTGAGGTGGGAAGAAGCTTATTGTACTAGAATATTTAAGAGGAGCCCAGTAGAGATGGAGTAGTATAAAGTGAATGCAGAGCTTGGAAAGAGTCAGATCATACAAGGCATTCACTGTAGGGCATTGTGGGAGTTTGGATTTTGGTCTACATATGATAGGAAATGATTGAAAGATTTGAAAATGGTGTTATATTATCACCTATTTACAATTTTCAAAGATCACTGTGTCTGCTGGACACAAATGATGGAGAGATAGTAGGGGGTGTGTGTGTGTCTGTGTGTATGTGTGTGTGTGCGCACACGCGCGTGTGTAGTAGCAGCAGCAGTAGTACTAGAGTAGATTGGTGGGCCTGGAAGTAGGGAAATTAGTTAGGGAGGCTATTAAAGTAGCCTGAGTGAGAGTTGATGGAGGCTGGGCCTGGGGTGGTGGGTGGTGGGTGGTGGCTGTGCTAACAAATGAAGTGGATGAATACAACATGTGTTTTAAAAGTAAAACTGACAAGGCTTGCTGATAAATTGACTAAGAATAACTTAAACTATATTTATTAACTTTTCACTGTGTAGTGTCAGGCATTTTAGTTCAGTAAACATTTATTAAATGCCTACTACATACTTGATATACTCTTCCTTACTGAAATTAATACATAGATAGTCTTTGTGCTTGTTGCTTACTTTTTAGTGAGGGAGATAAATGAAAACATGATAATTTCATAAAGTATACTAGGTGTTGTGAATAAACTTTGCTTACTTTGCTGGCTTGTGTTAAGTTTCCTTCTTGAGGAAAATTGGTGCCCAAGTTGAGTCTGTTTGATCATTGTAAAAGAGGAATTTAGTCAGGAGAAGCCTGTTTCATCAACAGTGACATTGTGGTATTGAGATATGAGATAGAGGAGGATTGGCAACGGGCTGAAGCATAGTAGTGTCCTTAGACTGTAAAGTGAAGTGGGAAATGGCAAGAGATGAGTCTGCATATGTGTAGGTAGTAAGGAATCATTGCTTGCTGTGCTAGGGAGTTCAGACTTTCACCAGAATATGACTGGGTGAGGGTGGAGTCATTGAAGGGTTTTAGGTAAAGAAGAGTCATAAGTCAGGGAACACAACAGAGAGTCCCTGATGGAGCCGGGAAAGGGTGGGGTGCAGAACTCAAATTCTAGTAAAAAGACCAGACTTAGTGGTCTGAGACTGGAGGAACCCCAGAAAGCATTGCCCCCGGACTCTCTGTCAACCCAGAGCTAAAACAATTCCCGAAGCCAACTCTTCAAAGATTGGACTGGACTGTGGGACATAAAATAATACTTGTGAAGAGTGTACTTCTTAGCTGAAGTAGATACATGAGACTAAATGGGCAACTTCTGTCCAGAGGTGAGATGAGAAGCCAGAGAGGGTCAGGAGCTGGTTGAATGGACATGGGAAAAATCGGGTGGAAAGGAGGAGTGTGCTGTCGCAGTATAGGGGAAGCAATTAGGGTCACATAATAAAGTATATAAATTTTTGTATGCGAGACTAACTTGAATTGTAAACTTTCACTTAAACTACAGCAATTTAAAAAAAAAGAGTCATAAGTCAGATTAATTTTAAATATAGTGTGCTAGCTGCACTGAGGAAGGTGGTTGTGAGACTGTCAAGAGTGGAGGCAGGGAGACATGTTAGTACTTTTATCTCCCTCATCAATGAGAGGTGTGCAGTACAGGAAGAGATGGAGCCATGTTTTTGCACAGTTCCGTCTGAGGCTGAAATTGCCATTGCACAGTCTGAGCCTAGAATCTTGCCATCCTGTTCTCTAAGGAGATACAGTAGGTGATTAAAATTTACACATGCAGTTATTTAAATATAAATTACTGAGGTAACCTTAGTCATATTTTTTTCCTTATTGCCCATTCTTCTTTTTATAGTCTCTTGTAGATACTTCATATTCTAGGGGTTCCGACATCATTAAAAATAATTTTTCTACTCTTTGTCAATGAAAGGGAAGTGGTGGTTGTCCATTACCTTGTTTTTCACTATCAAAAGTTCGTTGAAGCTTAGAAACTTAGCTTATCTGATTTATCATTTCTTATATTGCAGGTTATATAGATTTGTTAATTTGTTGTCTGTCAGACAATTTAAGCTTCTTACACTGTAGTTTTATGAAGTTTGCTTTAGTTTTAGTAGTAGAACAGCTATATTGTGTCAGGTTATTAGTCATTTCTTAACTATGAAATCTTCTTAAATATAAATTTTAGTTGGAATTTCAATCAACTGTTAATTATGTAGAGTGTAAAGAATGGGGAGTGGGAGTGGAAAAGGTCAGTTATGGATAAATCCAGACTGTAGTTTAAACAAAATTATTTAAACTGTGATACAAAATGGATTGAATTAAGCTTTTTTTAACTTAAAATTGCAAGTAAAGTGTTAATCGAATACCTTAAGGTTTTACAGCCTAAAAATATAAAGTCGTCCTATTGATGAACATTAAACATAAATTAATTTTTAAAAATAGCATGTTTTCTGTTAGAATACTTGTTTTGCTGACTGTTAACAGTTTTCTCCTCTCTTTCCCTTGGCCCTCACTATTAGAAAGGGACTAAAGTTAGGGCAGAAGCATAGTCTTTGCTTTTTGTCTCTTCTCCTACCCTCCTGACCTAATTACTCTGCCTTTATAGCTTTTGTTCTGGAGTTTTGGAAGCTGTAGTTACACATGGGTGTCCCTTCTGCCTCCTTCGGTGGTAACACAAACGAATTCATGAGTAGAACTTACCTGTTGAGCTGCAGTGAACTGAATAGTTTAAAGTTTCATGAAGCCTTTCCATCTCAAACATTTTTGAGACTGAGGAGTGGGAGACCAGTCATAAAATCAGAATGGCAATTGATATTTAGGTAAAGAATCACACATAAGAAGGAAAAATGGCTTTTGATACACGTTACCTAAAATAAAGCAAAATCGAAACTGCAGTGGAGATGGAGTTTCTGTAGTTGAAAGCAAGGGATGATGGAGTGTAACATGGCAGTTCTACCATATTCATTATTTATTATAAATGTATAAAAAGCTGTATCATTCCTGTTGTAAGAATGCAGAATTTATTGTTTTATTTTCATAAACATAAATTATAACAACTTTCTTAAGGTAGCCCTTTGACCATGTAATTAAAACAATCGGGAATACGGTCAATGATGTTTGATGTTGATTTCAGTATTTTTTAATAGCCAAGAAATAGAAACAACCCAGTCTTAGCCATTTGTTTCCTTAAGTCTAGTAATAAAAGAAATATAACGAAGTGTGTTGACACAGTGGCTGCAGCGATGGGCTCAAACAGCGATTATAAGGATGATGCAGGACCAGGCAACAGTTTCATTCTGTTATACATAAGGTCGCTATGAGTCGGGGCCGGCACCTAACCAGCAACAACAACCAACTCGTACCAGAATTAAACAAGAATAATACAAGAAAAAATTACCCCAGTCTCACTTTTAAACATAAATGCAAATTACAAATATCAGAAAATAGAATTCAGTGGCTTATTAAAAACATAACAACCCCCCCCCCCAATATGACTAGGTAGCATTTATAGTAGGAATTAAGGGTGATTCAACTCCAGGAAATCTGTTAATACAAGATACCACATATTCATATTTAAGATGAACCGTATGATAAGATGGGTCTAGAAAGTATTCAGTAAAATGCACCATTTATTCATGTTTCTGTCCTGTAGGGTTGTGTTGAGTTGATTCCGACTCACAGTGACCCTACAGGAGAGAGTAGAACTGCCCTATAGGGTTTCCAAGGCTGTCATCTTTATGG